ACGGGTTTAGAAAACCCAGATCAAAGCCTGATTGGGAGATCCAAGAAAAAGTTGCCGTGAGTCATTTTCTCAGCCCACATCAGCACAGGGAGAAAGACAACAGAGGTTTTCAGAAACCGGGGACTGGGTCTGGTACCATATGGAGCACTTCAGCATAGGGAAAGGCTGTGTCCTAGGACAAGAAGAATCCCAGAACCAGCATAAAGGGGCTTAAAGTTGTTCACTAAAGAGAAAAGGTGCCAGCTGGCAATTTTGTCACTCCTTGCTCAGTTTTTAGACATAGATCCAGAAGAGACAGGGGATAGTTCTTGAACCTAAGTAGGGGTAGCATTGAAAGGCAAGGAGTAAAGCAGGCCCCAGGCCTGAGGGGTGCAAGTCCAGAAGCAAGCAGTACCTCTATGACCCAGGACCTCCAGTCTAGTCTGAAGCATACAGCAGAATAATCCAGGGAAGAAAAATCAGACCAAAAGGGAAACTTTAGTTCAGTCACCCTTAATCAGCACAGCTTTTCAAATGGCTAAGAATGGCTGAGCCCAACAGTAGACTACTTTAAGTCCAAACAAAACAAGTCCATAAGTTTGTCATTCATACACAAACCCACAGACCTTGAAGAGCTCAGACAAAAGGAGCCACAATCAGACTTTGTTGTGAATTAGAGTACTTTGGGAATACCAAAAGTTTGCAGGTTCCCAACCTAAGCTGTCCCTGGGAATAAAACAACACTCAATGCCCCAAGAAAGCAGCAAGGGACCAGCCCAGACCTTCCCTCCAGAAGTGTATAGAGCCAGGCTGCCCTAACATCAAGTCCAAAATCAGGAAGTAGGTTAGAAAAAAGGGCAAACAAACACAAAAAAATCCCACCACAAAAAAACTATTATGATGATAGAGATGCTAAAAACACAATCTCAGAAGAGAATGATTCTAAAACGCATCCAAGCAAAGCTTCAAAGAAAAGTAAAAAATAGAAAAAAAAAGTAAAAAAAAAAAAAAATAGACTGGGCACAAGCCTACTTCCTCAAAAAAAGTATGAGAAGGCACTTTTCTTCCCCTTCTTTACAAAGGTGCAGGGAAAGAGGCACATGCTCATTTTTTGATATGTTGGGTTTTTCTGAAGAAAATACAGATGGTCTGTGGTATACTCTAATGACAATTTCAGTTCCACTTTTTATCTATGTTCAATTAATCAATGAGCATTTATTAAGCACTTCATGCCATGCACTGGTGGGAATAGTCCAGGGTTGGGATTTCATAAGGGATGAGTGGTAACAGTTAAACTCAAAGCCAATGTAGAAAGGAATTGTTTAATGACAGGTTCAAATTGGGAAGAGAGAAAGGAAGGCAAAGCAGGGGGAATGGCTTAAGAAAGTCTCGAGGCAGGGGGCAGCTAGGTGGCGCAGCGGATAGAGCACCAGCCCTGGGGGTCAGGAGTACCTGAGTTCAAATCCGGCCTCAGACACACAACACTTACTAGCTGTGTGACCCTGGGCAAGTCACTTAACCCCATTGCCTAGCCCCCCCCCAAAAAAAGAAAGTCTCAAGGGGCAGGGATGTCAGAGTTTCAAGAGGTAAAGCCTAAGGAAAAGGAGGGATGCTCATTTTAAAGTGTACTACATCATGGGTCCTGCACTGAATTCCTGGATTTTCTCATATGACTGTATTTTAATAACATACAGGGCTTCAAGAATTTGAAAATATGTCATACACATAAGGGACTCGAGTTGTCCTTGCATCCAAGTGGCAGAACTAGGAACAAGAGATGGATGTAACAAAGAGGGAAATCTAGGGTTGATGCATCCATTTCCTAACAATTAGAGATACCCCAAAGTAGTATGAACTGCCTCAGGAAGGAGGGAATTCCCCTGCATTAGTTCTCCCTCATTAGATGTTTCCACACCAAGAAGGACAGCCTTCTTTTTGTTGTAGAGTAGGGACTCCTACTGAAGTCTGGGCTGGACAAGGTAGCTTCTCAATTCCTGCCAGGGTTCTATGACTCCAAGTAGGAGAGATTCTAATTGTTTAGTCTATCAAAACCTTCTAATAACAAGGGTGGAGGAAAAAGAAGCAGCAGGATATATTGCAAAGCAAAATAAATTTAGAATCAAAGGAGCTGAATTAGAATCCTGGCTCTGCCTTTTACCACTTAGGTAACTTTGGGGGCAGCTAGTACAGAGTGCCAGGCCTCGGGTCAGGAAGACTCATCTCCCTGAGCTCAAATCCAGCCTCAGGATACTTACTAGCTGTATGACCCTGAGCAAGTCACTTCACCTTGTCTGCCTCAGTTTCCTTTCTGGGTCAAGAAAACCCCAGATGGGGTCACAGAGAGTCAAGCACAACTGAAATGGATGCACAACAATAAACCTTTTTGGCAAGTCATCTCACATCTCTGTGACTCATTTTCCTCATCTGTTAGACTACGGAGTTGGAGAGATGATTTCTCAGAGCTACAAATCAAGGATTTTTAGAGACAATGGCCATTTGCAAACAATTATGTGAACTAACATAAAGAATAAGAAATTAGTTTTTGGACACAACCAATAAGGGCATACATTTGGCCTTAAGTGTGCTTAAGTAATACAGGAATTAGGTATTTCTTTCTTTCCTTTTTTTTTCCTTTGGAAGGAGGGAGGTGGGGGGGGGGGGAATGGATGTTTTATAACTGAAAATATTTAAAAAATTCATGGCTCCAAGCTTAGTTTTTGTCTCAACACCATCATATAAATAAGCAATTCTCACTTTGCCACAATGTGCTCTTGAAAACCACATCCATAATGAAAACACAAATTCCACTTTCCTATCAGAGAGGTGTTATAATTGTTACAATTGGTTTGTATTCATCCCACACCAAGCACATGGCATCAAATAAATCACAGATATGATTAACAATATGTAACAAAAAAAAGAGTACAAACTATGTCCATAAACATTTAAAATAGAAAACTTATGTTCTAAGTCATAAAATTTATATCTGGAAGGGAACTAAAAATAACTGTGTCTCAACCCCTCACTTGATGGAAGAGGGCCTAAGTCACAATGAAGGGAAGCGCTTTGCCAAAGGTGCTTTCAATCAAACAAACAACATTGATTAAGAACTTTCTATCTGTCAGGCACCATGCTTGGCCCTGAGGATACAAAGAAAAAGCAAAAACAGTTAACTGTCCCCAAGAAGATTACACTCTAATAAAGACGACAATATGTAAATGAACATGCACTTAACCTAGTTATGTGCAGAGGAGAAGACGGGGCCACCTCAGAGGAGCTGCTTAGTGGAAGAGGCAAGACACCCAGGCCCAAGGCTTGTTGCACTGCACCACGATGCTTCAAAAAAAACTAGACAAAACCTGAATTTCGTGCATATTAATTTTGTTTTCTTTCTTAGAATTGAGAAACCCTTTGCAGGGAAGAGAAAAGGGTATGGTTCGTATGGCAGCAACATTGAGAGTAAAGAGGACTGCTCTGGATTCAGATTTGAGGTCTGGCTCTCTTAGTTCCTAGCTGTGGAGTCTTGGGCAAGTTGAGTGCCTGAACCTCAATTTTTTCATCTGCAAAATGGGGATAACAATACTTGTACCATCAAATTCCCACAGTTGTGCTAAGGGAGAACACTGTAAACTTTCAAGTACTATAAAAAGAGGCATCATTACCTTGGACAGAGTCCCTTCCCCTCTCCAAGTCTGTCTCAGGTTACTCATCTCTAAACTGAGGGAGTTAGGCTAGTTGATTTCTAAGGTCTCATGGACCTTAGATTCTATGATCTCCATTTTTACAATCAGGTTCTTTTTGAAAACAAAAGGCTTGATAAAGAATTTGAGATGGCTTCTTTATCTATCAATAAGTTTTCTTGTGACAAGTAAGTTGGCCAATTAAGCAGGATTTTCCTGAATCTTCTCTTATTCCTACTCTCTCCAAAAAACTACTAAATACAAAGGAAAAGAAGTGACAGAGCACATTTCAAAATAGCGTGAGGAGGAGAAGGTTAGCGGGCGAAGAGAACAAAAGCACTCTTCACTGTGTAGATGGAGAAACTCTAATCCAGGAAGAAGGAACCTTCTCAATGCCCACCAAGTCAGCGAAGAATACAGATGTGGTTAGAACTCAGGTCTGGGGCTCAATCCACCACACCAGGCAGGCACATGTTTTTTGATTAACAACGAGGATTGTTCATCACTGACTTAGCAAAGATACCCTCTTCATCCTGCCAAGACAGGTGTATGCTACAATAACCCAACAATGACTGGAGAAATATAGGTGTCAATTAAATAGCCTTGAATGAGCAGAGAAATTAAAATGGATGTATCAAAAACTTTAGCCTGGAACACTACGCTATCTTTGAAAGAGCAGTGCTATGTTCAACAAAATTAACAGAAATAAGCTTTGGCTTTCATTCACAAAAATTCATTCATAAAAATTGATATCTATGAGGACACACGATTCAGTGTCTGCTTTAGATCAACAATGGAAAGAAGTGTAAAGAAAGTAGAGAACTTTCATTCTCTGTTTCAGTGAGGTCTTCCAGGAGAACAACTACGCTTTGTGTGAATTTTTTTAAATCTCCAGGACAGACTTTGCTCTCCTCTAACGAAGTCTTTGTTTATGGTCTCAAGAACAACATAGTATGGTCACCTAGGTTAGGTTGGTGATTCCATCATTAAATATGGTAACAAATATGCAACTGACAAGAAGAAAGCCCTGTATCCCCTGGTAGTTAATCTGAGGGACAATAAGCTATAAATCAGACACTTATAAAAACTTGTGATCTACGCACTTGGCTTAGCCACTGGCTAAAAAGACATGGATATGCTTTTGGATAAATCCAAGACGTATTACGTCTCTAAATAGGAATCCAAATCTCTAAAAATGTGTTGGGGGGCTTTTATTTCTTTAAATTTGCAATATCCTGAACCTTCCCATATCCCCTTGTGAAATGGAAATATGAGGGACAGTCAGAAGATCCTAACATCCAAGTGTTGTCAAGATATTCCGCAAACAGTAGAAGTACGTACCACCAAGTCCCAGTTATTCTGTTCAAGCAACGTAATGGCTTCATCAATGTTTTCAATGCCAGTACATGCCTAAAAATGAAATAAACAAGAAGAATATTTAGATAAGGATGAGACAACAAATTAGCTTTTAAAGCATAACAATGAGATTGCCAATTCTAACCATTGCCCAACATATCTAAGTGACTGGATCTGTGAGACACTTAAAGAACACAATCTGCCCAGAATGTGGGCAGCGAGGTGGCTTAATGACTCCAGCACTGCACCTGCAGTCAGGAAGACTGGAATTCAAATCTAGACTCAGAAACTTACTAGCTGTATGAACCTGAACGAGTCACTTTAGCTGTCTGCCTCAGTTTTCTCATCTACAAAATAGGGTTAATAATAGCACCTATTTCGCAGGATTATGGTAAGGATCAAATGACATAACATATAAAGCACTTTGCAAACCTTAAAATGACATATAAACACAGCTAGCTGTTGTTGCTGTTGTTGTTGTAACTATTAAATCTGAGATGGAAACACCCCAATCTATTCTCCTCTGTGGAAAAGGGTGAATTGAGAACCCTAGGCTAAAGGAGCTGTACAACAGCAGGTCATGCACTGGGCCAAAGACAGAAGGGTACCTTGAATGTCAGCCTCCTGAGTCGGAGTCTAGGGCTCTTTCATTCACTAGTACGTGAACAAAAATTCACTGTTATTCTAGTATTCAATGTCTGAGGGCATGTTTTTTAAAAGATCATTTATAGAAGAGGTAAAAATTCACTGGGCCTCATTTCACTGTTTAAACTTTATCATATAGCTGACATTTATATAGGCTTTAAAGAATAAAATGATTTTTCAATATCTTATCTCATTTTAATAGTAATATTTACATAGCATTCTAAGGTTTGTAGAGCACTTTTCAAACATCCCATTTTAATCATCACAATATTCTTCAGAAGTTGGTGCTATAATTCTCCCCACAGTACAGGAAAATGAAGCATGCAGTGACTTGCCCAAGGTCACACAACTAATAAGTTTCTGAGGCCTCATTTGAATTCAGGGCTTCTTGATTTCAGTTTGATACTCACTGCCCTCCTATGCGATGAGGAGGTCAGAGATTATTTCCCACCTTTATAGAGGAAAAAACTGAGCTCAAGGCATGAGAAAAGACTTGCCCTGGTTACACAGCTAATAAGTCTGAAGCAAGATTCAATACTAGCTCTTCCTGACTCCAAGTCCAAAATTCTATCCCCTGCACCAGACAGACAGACAAACATTTGTGTATCTTTTGATCACCTACTATCTGTAATCTGGGACTATGGAACCTCACAAATTTTTTCATCTTTAATCTGTTACTGTTAAAACATGATCTGTACACAATCTGAGAAATATTAGCTCATTTCAGGGCTAAGAAAGGAAGGATTAAGTTCTTATTTATTTTAAATGCTTCATTTCAGTCAGCCAAAAGCTACCTTCTCACTGTTCCATCCCACTCCCCAATTGAGAACACAAGAAAAACAAAACCCATTACAAACATGTATAGTCGATCGAAACAAATTTCCACATTGGCTATGTCCAAAAAAAAAAAAAAATTTGCCTCATTCTGCATTCTGAGTCTTTCACCTTTCTGTCAAGAGGTAGGTACCATGTTTCATCATTAGTCCTCTGAAATCACAGTCATTCATTTCACTGACAATAATATTCCATCCCATTTATATATAATAAGTTGTTCATTGGTTCCCAAATTTATGGACAACCTTCAGATTCTCTGCTACCTCAAAAAATATTTTTAAATATTTATAAATATTTAAATATTAATTAATTAATAAAAATTAAATATAAATATTTAAATAAATATTTAAAAATATTTATAAATATTTTTGTACATCCTTAATTTATTTTGCTTAGGATCATCCCTCCCTTAACCTACCTTCCCTTTCTCCTCCTTCCCTATTTCACTGTTGCATGGTAATGTATTTCTATACTGATGTATGTATTCTTCCTTCTTGTGACCAGTTCAGATGAGTGAGGTTAAAGTGTCAGCAGCAACCCCCAACCCTTCTTCCTTGTCTGTACAGAAGTCTACTTGGCTCACCCTGATTATGAAGTAAGTTTTCCAAACCTTCCTATCCCTTCCCCTAACCCCTAGCATATTCTTCTTCCTCTATTTTTCCATTCTTTTCTTCAGATCATCAAGACACAACAGAACCACTCTCAGACCATGTCCAGTTGGACTCCCTCTATTACTGCTGATGTTAAGATTCAGAGGGGACACATACATCATCTCCCAATATTTGAACATAAGCCATTTATCCCTAGTCCTTTATCATTGTCCTTCATGTTTATGTTTATATTTCTCTTCATGCCTGTTTGTACTTCAAAGTTTCTCCACTTTTTGTCAGGAGTGCTTGGAAGTCCTTTGTGTCATTAAATATCCATTCTTTCCCCTGCAGCGTTCTACTCAGTTTTGCTGGGTAAGTTATTCTTGGCTATAAGCTAGTATCTTTTTCCTTCTGGAATATTGTATTGCAAGTTCTCTGCTTCTTTGGAGTGGTGGCTGCTAAATCATAAGTGCTCTTTACTCTGGCTCCTCCGTCCCTGAGTTTTCTTTCTGGCTGCTTATAGTATTTTTTTTCTTTGACCTGAAAATTCTGGATTTTGGCCATGATGTTCCTGGGAGTTTTCATTGAGGGATTTCTTTCATGAAGGGAGCATCAGATTCTTTCTATTTCTATTTTAACCTTCAGGTTCTAAGAGATCTGGGCAATTTTCTTTAAAGATTCTTTGAAATGGACAGCTAGGTGGTACAGTGGATACAGAGTGCCAGGCCTAAAGACAGCAAGATTAATCTTCCTCAGTTCAAATCCAGCCTCAGATACTTAGTAGCTGTATGACCTTGGGCAAATCACTTAACCCTGTTTGCCTCATTAAAAAATTAATTTGGAAAAAAAAAAAGGTTTCATGAAACAGGAAACCTGGACTCTTTTTTTGGTCGTGACAATCAGATAATCCAATAATTCTTAACTTTTTTCTACCCAATCTGTTTTCCAGGTCAGTTGTTTTGCTAATAGATATCTTAAATTTTTCTGCCTTTTTTTTTTCAGTCTTTTGACTTTGTTATGTTTCTTGTTGCCTCATGGAGTCACTGGCTTCTAACTGGTCCATTCTAATATTCAGGGAGTTTATTGCTTGGGCAAGATTTTGTCCCTCTTGTGCCAAGTGTTAATTCACTTTCTTATTCTTTCTTCCCTAGTCTTTTTTCTGTTCCATTTTTTTCAACTCAAGTGTTCAATTTCATTTGCCTCATCTCCTCAAAAAGAGGAAATTTAAAAAAAAAAAAACTCTTGCTTGATGTATTGCAGAAATTCTAGTTTGTGCCCAAGCTGTGTTTTTCTCTGAGCTTATAGATGTTAACTGTCATTCTCTTCTGAGTTTGTGCCTTGAGCTTCCCTAATACCATAATGTTCTGTATGGTGGGATTGCGTGTGTGTGCACTCATGTGCGCACACACTCATTCTACCAGCCTACTTCCTGACATCAGACTTGACTGATGTTGGGGCTAGGATCTGTAACACTTCTGGAAAGAAAGTCTGGGCTGTTCCTGTTGCTGTTTTCTTGAGGTACTGAGTACTGTGTTATTCCGGAATCTCAAGGAAAGGCTGGGAACTTTCAGGGTTCCCAAAATGGTCTGATTGCTGCCTTTGTCTGTGCTATGCAAATTCCTGACATGGTTTTGGGTTCTGAGCAAAAGTAGACTGCTGATGGATTCAGTCCCTATCAGCCAGCTGGAAAGCTCTGCTGGTTCAGAAAGGCAGAATTGTAGGCTCCCCTTTGGTCTGGGATTCCTGCTGTGGTTATGCCTCTGAAGGCTGGGCTAGATAGTAAAAAGGACACCCCGTTCTGCAAATGGGGTCTAAGCCACACCACCGCTGCTTCTGGTTTCTGAACTTCCTCCTTTCTTGATACACTGCCCAGGGCATCCCTACCCAAGAACACCGTCACTCCTATACACAAGCCCCCTTCTCAGACCTCTGCATCTGTGACCCATAACTGGGTATCGGGCAACAACACTACCAGTTCACATCTATCCCCATCACAGTGCCCATTATGGGTCTGGAACTTCCTCTTGTGCTAGTACACAGCCCCTCCCTGGGCCCTGGATTGCTTGTACACTCCTGGCCCAACCCCATCCCCAAGTGTCTACAGACCTCCGTGTCTGTCTCCCTATTCCTATCCGGGCTGGACAAATGACTATGATTGGTTGTTTGTTTGTTTGTTTTCTGGATTTCCCCATCAAGATTCAGTATGGTACATTTTCTAGATCTGTTTGAAGGAGTTTTGTGGAAGGGAGCCTGCTGTACTGCTTTCTAACACTCCACCATCTTGATTCCAATTACATTAAACGCTTACTATGTACTAAGCACTACGACTATAAATACAAGCAAAATGACAAATATTTTCTGTCCATATGAAATAGGGAGGAGGTGTGGGGAGGAGAGTAAAAGGAAGGCACCCAGCCTAGGAACATGATTTTTCAAGCCAAAAGCCAAAACGGGTTTGGGATGGAAATGAAGACCAGCCTGGGCCCATTCTCAAAATGGAGATTCCAGGAGGAACTCATCAATATGAAAAGAGGGCAGGCCATAAAGAGAGATATTCCAGTTTGAGAAGACCACAGGAATGGTTCAGTGTCCTGGAGAGAGATCTCAGGCACTGAGGTAAGTTCCAGGATGAGACAGCGTGGTTTGAAAATCAATAATGATTTTGGTTATCAATATTTCTGTGAGGGGCAGCTAGGTGGCACAGTGGATAAAGTACCGGCCCTGAAGTCAGGAGGACCCGAGTTCAAATCCGGCCTCACACCAAACACTTGACACTTACTAGCTGTGTGACCCTGGGCAAGTCGCTTAACCCCAATTGCCTAAAAAAAAAAAAAGAAAGAAAAAAAAAAAATATATATATATATATTTCTGTGGTCCAGTGCCCATTTTGACTGTCAATTACTTGCTTAAATCACTCAGAATTGAGTTTTTTCAACTGTCATCTTTTTCATCATTATTATTCATTCTTCTTGCTTTTTACTAACT